CCCAATATAGTAGCCCTTGGTACCTTCTCCTTGTAGCCTTATTTGACTTTTAACCTTTGACCTTTGATCTAGCACAGTGAAATACACATACACTTAAAACATTATATATATATAGATTATCGTAGAAATTGCCACATTTTCTTTATGTTGACATTTCTCTTGTACACATTTTGCATTCGACATTTGGACACCTCATCATGAGGACTTTATAAATACAAAGTTATTATCATTATTACTAAATAATACATATATTTCATAGAATACTACAAAGATTTAAAAACAGAACTTTGAAAATAACTTATATCTATCGATTAATAGTTGATGTGAATTTATTTATTAGCTCAACTGATAAAGATGAATTTATAGATATTTAATTTCTTTTTTTTCAGGTTGATCTATCAAATTTAAAATGTTTTTCATTAATATGTTATCGTTGTACCGAAGAATATAAAATTCAAGTTTTATCTCTTCTTCGTCAAATGTCACATCTTGAAGAATTAACTTTATATCTTTATATCTTAGATAAATCAACATTTATCTCTGGTACTCATCTTGATAATGAAATTCTTATTCATATGCCACGACTTCATAAATTCACATTTTATTTCGCTTCTGAAAATGACATTGATGATGATACAGATATTCGCATATTTAATTCAGATATTCAACAAACTTTCACCAAGATAAAATATAGACAGGTGGCTTGTACGATAAATTATTTGGAGCCTTGCAAAATAATATGTCACATTTTTTCACTTCCATTTAAATTTCATTTTCTCCAACGCATCGGAAATAATATTCCAAATATTGTATTTAATTCTGTCACTTATTTGAAATTATGGGACAAAGATGAATTCAAACATGAATTTTTCATTCGACTTACTCGAGGTTTTCCATTTCTTCAAAAGTTATATATTTGGAATATTAAGTCACCATTTTGGAGATGTCAAGAATTTCATCTTCGTGATAAAGATTGGTGCTCAATTGTTGAATATCCGCATCTTATTTCACTTAACATCAAACATGCACATCCTCATTATATTGAACATTTTCTCAATGAAACAAAAACACATTTACCACGTTTAAGAGAATTAAAAATTACTTTTTACAATTTAAAAAACGTAACAAAAAACTTTACAAGAGATGAAACGCGACGCAATTGTGCTAGAGTGAATCGATTAATTGTTGAATGTCAAATCGTTTATTCGGAAGATGTTCATAATTATTTTCCTTTATTATCACTTTAATGTTATTCTGATATTATCTGAATAAAAAGTTGTAGTGTAAATTATAGGTTTTTTTGAGAAGGTTGCAACTCGTCACGTGACGAGTTGAATTTTTCAGAAAAAACAGGACTTTCGTAACGCTAAAAATAGGAAAATACGAGAAAACAGGGATATCGTAACCANCACGGGCAGTCTTGGCGATAATACGAGCGTATCTCGACTGAGTTGCGTCGAGACCTGGAAGATTACCACCACTACTGCTACCACCGTTACTCGTACAGCACTGAATATGATTGGGACCTGGACATAGATTGGCTGGATCAGAACTTCCACTACAGGTCGCAGTCGGCTGGCACGTGCCCCCGACACCTTTACTGTTCGTGCAAGTACGATAGGTACAACACTATAATGATAACCAAAAACATTAACGAAACGATGAACACTAATGTCAAACATTCATACTTGAATAGCGTTGTCACCAGGACAAAGATTGGCAGGATCTGATGATCCACCGTTGATTTTACATTGACTGGTGCTGATACATTCTCCACGACGACTGTTTGTGGCCGTACAATATCCATATTGCGCAAAAACGGTGGATGGAAGAACGATAGCGAAGACAATGAGTAAAAACATGCGCAATGATTTCATTGTGTTGTGTTATGCAAGCTACTTGAACTAAGATTAGATCTGAAATGCACAAAAGATAAGTGAGTAACTAAACATGGAACGTGGAGAAGCACATAAACTATCCATCAATAACTTGATTCGATAGCAACATACAAGAAAAGAAGAAAAGAACTGATAGCGATGGCTAAAAGTCTGCTAGTATTAATAATTGCGACGAATCGCTTGGTAAGTGGTAAATTTTTCGTTAACGATTGTGGAATAATGGATCAGTAACTAATAATTGCTCGGTTTCTAGTTATCCGGTAACATAATCGTATATTCTTTTCTCTCAAATTTCATTTCCATCTCATTCAATGAATAAAATTTTTTAAAAAGACAACAAGAACGTAACGAGGAAGGCGAATGTGATGGGAATTATATATATCTGTGTTGATAAAGGAAAATTAGAAAGATAAAAAAACACAAGGCTGCGAAGAGAGAACGGTGGGAATAATGGGATTTCAGTTTCCATCTGTTCGAACGGGCAAAAATTAAAGAGATAAAGCTAACATAAAGTGCGACCTGGTCAAGACCAATGCAATGAGTATTGAGTAAACGCTATTATGTAGGTATCATTACCTGACGGTTACGCTCATCATCAAATTTGGGCAAAGCACACTGGGGAAGTTATTCAGAGAAGCGTGTGAGTATGAGTATGGGTGCGGGTGTGCGTGAAGAGAAGATCGATACCTTCACTCAAACCCAAACCCACACCCACTAACACTCACATTCTTGATGCATCATATCTCTAGCAATGTTTATTTCTAAGGATCATGTTGTCGTTCATAAATTTGACATGTATGAGTTCGAAGATTTTGCTATATCCTATCAATGTTATGACTTCAATAAATTCTAGTTAATCTTCTCATATTTAATGCTTCACAAAGCTAATATATCTGAATCTTTTATTTATTTCGAGAAAATACAAATGATTGAGATCGACAAAATGAAATGTATTTCGTAGTACATACAAAAACAAGTGGTCATTTTCTGATTATGTTTGGAGAATATCGTAGATTTTTCCTTCTTAAGCCTTCGATAACTATGATACGTTACCGATTGTTATCTTGTGTTACTAAAAGTATTCCTATATGAACAAGAAAATAAACGATCAGATCAATATTTTCTTCCTTCACTTACTCGTTAAAATACAATCTAATATTTCTTGTTGTTATTTTTAAATGAATAAAGGTATTTCTAATGTTTATGTTTTATCGACTTCTGAAAAGCAAAACTTCGTCAAGAGACATTGCTGTCATTTACATAAATTAGTTATTTTATTGCTTTGAGTCTTTTGAATGCTTGACATGGTACACTAGTGGAAAAAAAGTTTCGAATAGCATCTATTGATTTATAGGATGGATTGGATGTTAGTATTGTTCCCACTCTAGAACAATTGTCTCTTGCTTGCTATTGGTTTTGAGCAATTATTTTGAACAATATATCTTTATTAATAGCGAGTTCAATTAAAGAAGAAAGATGAATTTGACGAAGAAATTGTTCGGCATAATCCATATAAATATCATATAAAAGTAGTACAGCTAAATGAGTAACGTCAATGTTAATTTTCGTCGCTATCGTTTTTTTTCCGTTGTTCAATTTGATTAATAAAGACACATCTGAGTCTTCGGATGCGTATGACAACTTTTTGTTGCTTTTCCAGCATTTTTTGCAAGATTTTCAAGTCAAATCAGTTATAAAACATATTTTTTGAAAAAAGTAACGTATCTAAAACTAGTTGTTTAATGAACAGAAATAGTGCTACAATGTGGAATCTAAAAATATAACCACTAAAATAAAGCTAATACAAACGAAACGTCAGAATTAATTAAAATTTATCGTCATATGATATCTCAAATCGCATTACATTTTAACATAAGAATGATGAAAATGACTCTCATAACAGTTATTCATCAGTAGTGTCAAACTTGAAACTTGACTTCAATTATTGAATACTTGAAGTTCAACTATTCAAGTATTCAACTAATCAAGGTGTGAGTGTGGGTGTAAGTCCTTTTACTTGAATACTTGAATTCAAGTTTCAAGTTTGACATATATGGAAAATTCGCGAATCTGATGCTAACTTTTCTTACGTCTATATTCGATGATACTAATTGAAATAAAACTCAATATTCAATAATATTAAGGTCGCAGACAGACTGACTTAATTGAAAGCGAATTAACCAATTTAATTGTTGTCGTTAGGTAGAAATACCGATCATGTTTCTTAATTCACTTGGAAGTATGTGGGAGCCTATTTGATTCCTAATAATGTTGAACTCGATATATGTAATTATTTGAAAATAATCTTGACTAATTCAGATAATTAAGGGGAATACTTTAATTATTTTTCACAAAGCGATCTATATATTCAAAATAGTTAGATATTTTATTTTTTCTTCTCTTAAATGGATGTCTTTTTCTATTTCTTGGTGATAACAGACGCCACAACTAGCATACGAACGTAGAAATGAATGTTGAGAAAAACAGCAGCATTCGTCTATGAACATCCTCAACTATATATCAATATTAAATTTTTTTCGTTCAACTAGGTCAAACTTTTTTTTCTTCTTCAATGAGAAGAGAGCTTATAAGCAAAGAATGAATAAATAAGTATCTATATAAATCGTCTTACGACAAGCATTACAATCACATTCAAAAATGAATCAGCATAATGTTCATCTTCTCGATCTACCTAATGAAATAATATTTCTCATTTTGAAGAAACTTGCCAATATTGATGTTCTTCATACTTTTCTGGGTATCAATAATCAACGACTTGACATTATAGCACAAGAAGAAGTCTTCAGTAACATTCTTAGTTTTGTTTCCATATCACAATCAACTGATCAGATTTCTTCAATTTCTGACACAATATTAGAACGATTTTGTACTTCAATAAATATTACCTCAAATTCATTACAATGTCAAATCACTCAGTGCTGAAGCTACTTCTATGGAATGTATCCTTGGTGCTGTTAACTATCCTAATCTTACTACACTTAAACTTTATAATTTCAATCAAACAATCGTTTCACGTTATTTTATGGGTAAGAAAGTCATTTGTTTTGATCTTTCGAAAGATCAGTATGCAGAAATATGAAGATGAGAAGATGTTTAATAGTGTCATTTTATTTAGGTGATTCGCACTTTCGACATATTTGTACACAACAAATAACCGATCTGAGTCTTATCATTAATGAAAACAATGTTGAAATAACAGATGAAGACTATACTAACAGTGTCTATGAAATTATCTTTGCTTTCTTTGAAAATCTAAGGCATTTGACTATTGTCCTACCATCTAGCAACAATTATCCACTTTTATCGTTATATAAATCACCATCAAAGACTTGTTTTTCTTTGACACTTACTAAATTATGTATCAATGCACATAATTTTAATGATGTTCTTGCTTTACTTGATGGTCGTCTCAAACAATTAACTACATTCGTCGTTCAAGTTGATCATATCAACAATAGGATATCAACAGTTTACAAAATGGTGAGTTCATACTTCGTGATAGTATTGGCGTATTTTCAGATCAATTCACTAGTTGATATCGAAGATAAGAAATCGTTTCCTAACAGTTATGTAGGACTGATGATTCACCTATATAAAAAGAAATAAAATGTTATAGTTATTTCCGAAATAAACAGTTTTTCTTTTAAGTTTTATTGACTTTTATTATTCAAAGAGCATAATAATTAAAAAGAATCTTCATTTGACCAATAATTTTGTAACATCTTTCTAATGAATATTATTGAGAGCTATTACTGTGTCGCCCAACCACTCGACCTTTTCTGGTGACGTCACTATGAATTATTCACCAATGCCTATATGACAAAATTTGTTAAATCCATAGGAATCATTATTTACACGAGAATATCTATTTTTCATAGAGTACAAGAATGATTAGAAATGAATAATGTTTTTGGATTATTTGTTGATGTTAAGCTATTTGTTAGGTCAAATTATAAAGATTTATTTCTATTTTTCAGAATGATCTACCTGCTTTAAAATATTTTTCATTAACTTGTTATGAAGAAACAGGAGGATATAATATTTCAGTTCTACCTCTTCTTCATCGAATATCACATCTCGAAGAATTAACTTTATATATTCACATCACGGATGGGTCCACATTTATTACTGGTACTCATCTTGATAATGAAATTCTTATTCATATGCCACAACTTCATACATTTACATTTTATATCGCTTGTGAAACTGTCATAAATGATCCAGTTATTCGTATATCTAGTGATGATATTCAATGAACTTTTACAAATATTAAAAATCGACAAATATTTTGTATGGTAGATTATTTCGCTGATCTTAATATAATATGTCGTGTCTTTTCAATTCCATTTATGTTTCATCGTCTCGAAGACATCACAAATAATATTCCGGATATTATATTTAATTCTGTTACTCATTTAAAATTTTGGGATAAAGATCCATTCAAACATGAATTTTTCGTTCGACTTGCTCGAGCTTTTCCATTTCTTAAATATTTGATTATATGGAATATTCAACCATCATTTTGGAAATTTGATGAATTTCAACTTCTCAAGAAAGACTAGTACTCAATTGTTGAATATCCGCATCTGATTTCAATTGATATTAAACGTGCACATACTCATTATGTTGAACATTTTCTCAATGAAACAAAAACATGTTTACCTTGTTTAACACAATTAAAAGTCAGATACAACGATTTAGAAAGGGTGACAAAGAATTTTACAAGAGCTGAAACACGACGTAATTGTGCAGGAGTAAAACGATTAATTGTTGAATGTTCAACAGTTTATTCAAAAGATGTTTATCATTATTTTCCTTTATTGTCAGTTTAATTTTGTCAAAGATAATATTTGAATAAAAATTTCTGGCCAAACTAGATAATTGTTTGTCTTATAGCATTGAATGAGCGTCGGTGTGATTGTGATAATCAAATTTTATTCATACCCACACCTTCAACTTGAATAGAGGATGGTTTTTCGTTAATCAAATAGAAGTAGAAGGAATTAGATCGTTACTACATAGATTTATTATTATTTTCACAATTTTTAAAACATATATTCTGTCTAAAGTTAGATTTTATATAGTTTACTTGTAATAAATTAATTCAAGATCACATTTACTAAATCTTTTTGCAATAATCTCTTAGGTATATCACAGATCGGAAACAATTACTAAAAAAATATCATTTCTAACAAACTTTTAAGACAAATTACTTCTTATCTTATAGAAACGAGTTGTTTAATTCGTTTCCACATTGATCGCCTTTTGGTATATTGCCATAAGAATAGAAAGACGTTTCTTTCTTGCAATTATAATCAGAGATGCACCTCACACCATCGACATCTTGACGAAATTTACAATCGATGAATAAATCCGAATATTTTTACATAATATAGTTGAGAACAAAAAAACAAACATAGTTATCATAATCTCATTACTGGCATTCATATATTCTTGTCATATTACCAATTATAGTTACTTTGGGGATAATTTCGGAGTGCAGTACAAGCAAAACGTTTTTGGTCTAGTCTTCTTATTTACCTGAAGTAGTGACTCATCATCCAACAAATAGATAATCGAAGTGGTATATAACTTTCTTGAATAAAAAATTATATTGACATACGTAATAAGATACGGTGCGGGTGTGGGTGGTAGAGCCTGTCGGGTAGGACCCGGACCCAGTCGGGTCCGGGTCCGGGTCAGGGTCCAACATTTTTGGACTGCATGGGCTCTAGCTAAGAGTAAGAGCCGATTATAACTTGATTATTATAAGATCACCATCAAGATTGCCTGAAAAATGTGTAAAATGTGCTGGTCACAGAATACATTTAATTCAAAAAAAACATCTCGCGTCTTCGGAGCGCCTATTAGATCCGGATTAGTAAATTTCTTTATGAGTATTAACAGTACGGTTCGGGTTCAGGTCCGGGCCCAAAAAATTTTAATCCATCGGGTACGGGTCCGGGACCGGGTACCGAAAAGTTTAATCAACCGGGTCCGGGTACCGAAAAGTGTGGACCCGACGGGCTCTAGTGGGTGGGGGGTGTGGGTGCTGAAATCGTTGAAACAAAAGGATTCCCCCCCCCCCCACACACACCTACACCGATACCCACCCACACTCACACCCATCCTTCGACAAGAGTGCTGTTATAAATTCAAGGATTTTTGAAGGAAGGAAAAAATTGAACGGTCAGATTGTAAATCAACGTGTATGATCCATTGGAGAAGTAGACTTAGGCAATTGAGCGGCTAGCCGTCGGTCTGAACGTTCACTGCAGATGGGCTTTGGGAAAGATTTGGATAAGATTTAGAACGTTTCTCAAGAATATTCCAGGAGGATTTCTTTCATGAAGGATTACAGTGTAATGTTGATTTTCGAGATTGACCCTGAAATTCATGAGATAAGGAATACTTCAGAACAAAATCTTGTGTTTGGAATTTCTTCTTGAGAAATCTTATGTTATAAATACAAATTTGTCGCAATAGTGGACCTGAATTGGTTATATTGTAAAAAACGGTAGATAGTATATTTTGGGGGACAGAATTGAGCATGCGAGCGCCTAGTCATGAGTGGCGCTGCAGAAGGACTAGGCGCCTATTTGAAAAGTTGCTCGAAAGAAAGTTTTGAGGTTACTGAAGTAAGTAGAAAATTTTTCTATCGAATGAATCGTATCGATTGAGAGAGTGTCTGAGAACGACGGAAAGCTGAAAAATTATTTTTTTCAACCTAGTCTGATAAATAAGTTTTTTGCAGACGTACAACGTCTCGAACGTGCATTTGTTGGAAAGCAAGAATTAGCATATTTGTGTTAAACTAGGATTCGTGTGGATAAAAGAACATATTTCCAGTGGATAAACGTAAAGAGTGATCACTGATAAAATCGAATTTAGGATAACTTGGATACAGAGATAATCTCTACTTGCTTGCACACATTATGAAGACAGAAACTATATCAAATAAGAGTTAATAGCCGTTTGAAGTTTCTTTCGTTTCTTCAAATATAAATATTGAACTTTTTCTTTGTATGATTAAGATCTGTGTGTCAAAGCTTCAATAATATAGCAATCAATGCTGTGAGCTAGGTAAACACTGATCTTCTATGAAGCAAGCGGTATCTTCAGTGGTATTTATTTACTAGTGAGATGTTTTATGAGACTTCAATGCAACGAGGTACCTGAGTAGCTGATTCGCAACCTATTACTTAGTCTGCTTGATTATTATTTTGTCTGATCAATGTTAAACACCATCGATACTCTCTTGACTCATCATTTAAGACTCATCGATTGAGATTGATATAGTCTATATGGATTGAGAAAAACGTAAAATTTTAATCTTTCTTGAACAAAAATGTGCAAAAGAGAACATTTTTCAAAGAAGGAAATCGATGAAATACCGGTCTCTGCAGGCCTGTAGATTTTCTCATACGAACCTCGTTTGACCCTATGTTTACGAATGATTCGTAGAAAATGCACGATAATTGGCAACCGCTCATTACGTTTCAGTTTGGAAGCAACTTCAGCATAATAAAGTTTTCGCAGAAAACTCTATTCAATTCTATTTTGATCGAGAAAGTCGCACTCAAGATAGAACTATGGGATCTGGAAATAGAGATGGTTCTAGATAAAAGAAAAAAAATTCGGAAGAAGAACTCAAAACGTCGGACTACGTCCTGGAGAGATGGGAGTATGAGTTTAATTCAACAATAACGACCAGATGCGAGCTAAAGGGTGTTCAAAAGTTTCGACCCCTCTTAGTATATTGAGGATATCTACAACAAACTTATATTAAGTTATTGATCAGATTATGTCATTTTGTAGAGGAAGATTAGAGTTATCATTTGAAACAAAAATAATTCGAAATACATAAATCTATTACAATTTTATGGTCATTTTACTAATGTTGTGTGAAAAATCTTACGCTACATGTTTTGAAAAAAAAACAAAAAAGATCTTTAATGTTTGAGTCTTTAAAGTCGAGTCAAATATTATTTTCTACATGTTTTTAATAGATATTTCTATATGATTCGATAGAATTCAACAAGCTCTACAAAAATATGAATATGAAGAAAAATTCAAATCCTATTTTCAATATAAGACTCGAATGAAACCACACAGACCATTAAAAATCTTACATATCTTTCATGAAATAGTACGTTTAAGTTTCAAAAACTTTAGTTGATGGACTGCTAATTGATGATTCGACATGGAGTGTCACGCACTGAACTTGAAAATAACTCTTCTGAGCTGCCTGAATAGATGGAACAGTTACGCAGCTAAAACTTTTGAAAGCTCAGCCTACTCCCTCTAATATTTGATACATGAAGTTTTTATTAGATTTTTTTGTTTCTTTCAAGTTGTATATTGAAATTAAGACCAAAAGTTTTTTAAAAATTTATACTCTTGTAGAACTTGTCGAACTCTCTCGAATCATGTAAAGATATCTAGGCAACTATATGTCACGTAAGATGGTACAAGCATATTTTATTTTTTGCAAAAAATGTAACGTAAAAATTTTCACTCAAGATTCGTAAAATCACCATCAAATTATAATAGATTTATGTATTTCGAACTTTTTTTCCAGACGATAGCTCTAATCTTCCTCTACAAAATGACATAATTTGATCAATAACTTCGTATAAGTTTGTTGTAGATATCGTCAATTTACTAAGAGGGGTCGAAACTTTTGGAACACCCTTTATTTCCAAAAGTACATTTTATAAAGTCTTAATAGAAAATAGAAATGTTCGATCTTTGTATAAAATGGTCGTGACTGACAATACTATGGACGGATTTTGTATGTGCGTATGTTAAACAATAATTCTCAAAGCAGAATTCAGGAAGCGATAAGAGATGATTAATAGATCGAATTCAGTCGAGGATCAAGCGAATCGAAGCGACGAGCGTTGCTTGTTTTAATATCATCATGCAACTAATATATATATATACAATCTTTTCTATGAGTCATCTTATAAATAGCACAGGTTTTTTTTGGCAAACGTTCTAGCGACAGAAGCTTAACATATTTCGGCTTATAGATCATAGACGTTTACATATAAAAGCTTTTAAAAATTGTTCCCTCTGAAATCAAAGTTGGAAAGAAAACTAATTAGTTCATGTTGTAGAGCTAATTCTGCTCTATCGCATCGATCATGTTCTTATTATAGAGTATTTCATTTTTTCAATTAGTTTTAAGTCTTTTTACATTTACCATCCTTCGAATGGGTATCATTTAGAATTCAAAAAGACATTACGTGGCTATTTAGGTATTTGAGAGTTTATATATTTCATACAAATTTTCAAGTAGTTTTTCATGCTGAATCCGAATACATTATTAGATTCCAGATCTAAGCTAATACTAAGACGTTATCACTTTCATTTTCAGAGAAAAATGCATTTTTTAATACATAAGGATCATAAGGGCAAAATGCATGTTTACAGAATTTCACGTATATGCTCGTAAAAATAGAGTCGCATATTCAATAATTTAATATCAAAATGATCAGCGAAAAAAGCTCTACAAATCTCGAAAGTTTTCAATAAATTTGAACATGTTCATCCAAGTACTTGACTAGATTTCATGAATATATTCACTAAAACTGACTAAAAAATTGTCATCGAAAATAGTTTTGGCGTTCGTTCCTTCGAAAATCGAAGTCGGACAGGAAACTAATTAGTGTATGTTGTAGAGCAATTTGTGCTGTATTGAACTGCTAATACCACTACTCTGGTTAATTCCAACTCTCTGATTGACTTTTTTGAAATATCTTTTCTCTCCAGAACGTTACATAATCAATCAATAAACCTTAAAAAGAAATTCAAATTCATACGGAATCTGGTGCAGTTTTTCACGAGAAATCCGAATCTGTAATTGGTTTTGTGATCCGAGCGAAAAATCATAAACCATTATCGATATTTTAATGAGAAAACGACTTTCATTCATAGCAAAAAGACAAAAATGCATATATAGTATTAAGTTCATATCTTCTCGAAAATAGGCTCTAAATTTAAAAATATGACTACCAAAATGATCAGCGCAAACAGCTCTAAAAACTCTGAAAGTATCAATCGATTTGGAGATGGCCGTCCGATCGGCCTGGTGAGACCCCATGGATACGCCCATCTGTTTTATCATCAATTGATCAACAACAACCACAACCAAGTATTCGTCAAATAGTACGAGAAAAACTTCATAAACGTTCATCATCAGATTTACAACAATCATTATCATCAATTGATATTTCAACTAAAATTGATATTAATAATGTAAGTTAAACATTGATTTTTATTTTCATATTTATATTATCTATTTCTAATGATAATAAAAATAAATAGGATGATTACCCTATGGTAAGAAAGCTTTAACTAAGCGCAGACTAAAAGTTCTTATTTATAGCATAAATATGAAATGAAATTTTTAAAAATGAGATTTTGGTTTTTTTTTGGTTGATAATGTTTTATTTCGAGAATTTTCTCGTTGGGAAGAAACACCATCAATTGGAAGAGATTTATCGACATTTATGCATCAAGTTTATAGTGAAGATATTTTACCATGTTTAACATTTCCTACTGCTGATGTAAAAAGAAAAAAAACTAATTGATTGAAATGATTTTTTTATTGAATAGCTTTCATCAAGAATTCTTACAGCTATTGAACAAAATGATGTGACAATGGAAACATGTCATATGAGAACAATTGATGAAAATATGAAGTAAAAGAAATTTATTTTATTAAAAATTTATTGAGGATTTTTAGAGTTTGCTAATTAATGGGCGATCTATGTCAATGTATTTATCGTGTTCGATTAGGCGAAAATAGGGAATGGTATCCAATATCACGTTTATCTCGAAATCGAGTAAAGAAATATTTTTGTTATTTTATTTTTTAGAAACATTGCTTAATTAAAATAGATTGCATCGGTTTGCGATTTTTTTACTTTTATTCATCATTTTCAATCAGGACTTGTGAAAAGTGATAGTAAGAAAAAGGATAAATAAATTGAATTATTTTATTTTTTATTCGAATATTTCTAGCACTAAGTCGTTATAATAAAATAATTGAGCTTTGAAAACAAATAGCTTTTGTACGTCTTGGATTATGAATATAAACTATGCGTTTTTTCTTGCCAAAGTTTGACCTTGTGCTTTTATTCATTTTTTTAATGGTATTATCGCGTTCACATTCCATTTATTTGCAAATCTATATTTTTATAAAAGATCACGTTTATTTGTTGACAAGAAAAAAGTTTATTTCTTTTTTTGTGTCCTCCAGCATTTTGTTTCTTTTTTTTCTTCTTTGTATATGTTTCAAATCAGAAAAAATAAATTAACAAGAAAAAAAATTAATTACAACAGAATGCAGAATTTATTTGAATAAATTAGAAATATAAAATCAAATTTTTTATTTAAATATAGTCGAATCATAAAAAAGAGAAGAGTTCAATAGAATTTTTTTAAAGGTATTTTCATTATGGATAATAGGTTGTGGCTGTTTATAAATATTTGAAAACCATTTTTCCTGAAAAACTAAAACAACATCAATATCAATTCATCGATAATGATAAAATTTATTTGTTTGATAATATTTCAATTCTTATATATTATGTCGAATACTATTTAATGTGAGATGAAGATTTTCGCTTTTCATCGCTGTATTTTGATAAATTGTACAGTGTGTCTCAAAAGTTTTTTCGTATATCTTTACTATTTGATTCAACTTTACCAACTAATTATTTTTAAATGATAGAGACATACATCGAGTTTTTATTTACACGAACAAACCTCAAAAGCATCCTTCAAAGGGTATCATATCTAAATAAAATACAAAAAATATCGGGTGAAGCAGATTATATGGCTGCACTTGGTATTTCAATTTTCAGTCATTTAATACGTTGTATTAAAAAAACAAAATATATCACAAGATGCAGTCTGAAAAGCTCTACAACTTACATAAGACCGAATNATAACATCAGTAGAGTATACCAAGAATGTTTATTCAATTATCTTAGCTTTCTTTGAAAGCCTGAAGCATTTAAGTATTGTTTCATCATTGAACGAAAATTATCCAAAATCGATCAACAATTATCCATGTTTTTCCTTGTATAAATTACCACCAACAATTTTTTCCTCTTCGACACTTACTAAATTATGTGTCAATGTCATAGAGTTTAATGATTGTCTTGCTTTACTTGATGGTCGTCTCAAACAATTAACTATATTCATCATTCAAGTTGTACATATCAGTGATTCGATATTGACCAATTACAACAGGGTGAGTTTATGCTCCGCGTTATTCTCGTTTTCTAATTAATATTTAATATCGAAAATACAGTGAGTTCAATAAACAATGAGATATCTCCATTAGTAAATATGATGTTTTAATTTTGATTTCCAGAAAACCATTTGAAATAGATTTTTATAGATATTTTGACATTGTTCGGGATGATTTCATAATTGAGCATCACTCATCTGATAGTAATTAATCAATCTTTGTAGTAATTAAGTGTCCGAATAGAAAATATATTGTTTTATATCTTTCCTATTAATTATGTTAAACTTAATCATCTATGTTAAAAGGAATTAAACACAGTTATTTTCAACATAAACTTAAATCAATCAAGTTTTCTTTTAAGCGTCATTGTCTTTTATTATTCAAACGAGCATGCTTATTTGAAAGAACTATTAATTTTTTATACAAATAATTTTTCTTGTAACATCTGTATAATGAATCTTATCGAATGCTTTGAAACATGTTAAGAATATTCATTCGTTATATAATATTTGATGGTTTTGTTGTATTATTTATTAGTTTCTACGCGTGAGAACTTAATGAATACGAAATAATCATTCTCACTGGAGAATACATTTATTTCATAAAATACGAGAAACACTTAAGAGGAAAATTTTGAAGAAGAATAAAATCTATTGATTCATGATTGTTATGAATTTCTTAGTTCAACTGATAATGATGAATTTATAATTAATGCTTTCTTTTTCCAGGATGATCTACCACATTTAAAATGCTTTTCATTAACATGTTATAATGGTACTCGAGGATATGATAATCTAATTGTACCTCTTCTTCGTCGAATGTCACATGTCGAAGAATTAGCTTTATATCTTCATATCTTCCGCGGATCCACATTCATCTCTGGTACTGATCTTGATAATGAAATTCTTATTTATATGCCACAACTTCATATGTTCACATTTTATATCGATTCTATAAATCAGATTGCTGATCCAGCTATTCGTGCATCTGCTGCTGATATTGAACAAACTTTCAAAAATATAAAATATGGACCGGTAGTTTGTATGGTGGATTCTTTTGACTCTTACTGTGTGAGATATCGCGTCTTTTCACTTCCAACTAAATTTCATCGTCTCGAAGATATCAAAAATAATATTCCAAATATTGTTTTTAATTCTGTTACTCATTTGAAATTAAGGGACACAAATGCATTCAAACATGAATTTTTCATTCGACTTGCTCGAGCTTTTCCATTTCTTAAAAGTTTATCTATTTCGAATATACATCGACCATTTTGGCGTTGTGATGAACGTCATCTTCGAGATAAAGACTGGTGCTCAATTATTGAATACTCGCATCTTATTTTTCTTGACGTGGAAGGTGTAAATTCTTATTATCTTGAACATTTTCTTAATGAAACGAAAGCTCATCTACCTAGTTTAACACAATTAAAAGTTATTTATGAAGTTTTGAAAACGGTGACAGAAAACTTTACAAGAGATGACATGCGACGCAATTGTGGCAGAGTGAAACGATTAATTGTTGATTATCCAATAGTTTATCCAGAAAATGTTTATCGTTATTTTCCTTTACTGTGAATTTAATTTTTTTCTGTTATTATCTGAATAAAAATGTCTGGTGTAAATTATTTTTTTTACAAAATCAAGTATGGTGCAGAAAATGTAAGTCGTCTATGAAAATGAAATCTGCTATGGAAACTAAATTGTTGTGTAAAACAATTGCTAATATAATTTTACGTGTTTGGATTCCATTACGATAGAAAAATAAAATTGGATGTTATCGCAGTGCGGTGCGGCTGGGACAGATATTTTGATCTTGGTGGAAAATGTAGAAAAGGAAAACGTAGAAAAAATTTACTGAAGAAGAAAATATCGAAAAGAAAAATTTAGAATAGGAAAATGTCGAAATAAAAAAAACAGAGAAGGAAAAGTTAACAATAACGAATTAATATAGTTTTAATTGTAATAATAAAAAAGATAAATATCGATTGATTATTAAAATATAGAATATTATTTATTTTAAATATGATCAATTATTATTTTAAAATCAAATAAATAAATTTGTTAATATTGATATGCAAAAAATGTTATCTGATTAGATTTTAATATGATTTTTCTCATAAATTTATTGTTGAAATGTTTGATTAATATAGGTGAACAATGAAGTAACTATTTTCGAATTATTTATCCTTATCAAATAGATATTCAATGCATCCATATACACATATTCATTTGATTAATGGACATTTTTCAACATATTCTTCTCTTTATTTTTGTTCATTCTATTAGATATTCAATTATTTAAATGAAAATTTTCAAATAGTTTTATTATTAAATGAATATAAATAAAAGTTCAATCTGTAATAGTCCATTGTCTATCACGAAAATCAGATAATAAATCATTTGGTTTTTCTTCTAATAAATCTCTTTAAAATTTTTCGCATTGAGGAGCTTATTTAAGTTTAATATCCAATTGGATTTGTTTATGTAATGGACGACGTTGAACAACAACCGATATAACATAATTAACAGTTAATTATGACAATGAAACAATTGATCGAGTTATTATTAAAAGCTCATCTCCATGGAAGGCCTAGGGAATTTTTCAAATTTTTTTTTTATTCATATAAACAATATTGAAATCTGTTTTTTTCTCCTATTTATATCAAAGTTTTAATAAATAAAAAACGAAGTTATTTATCATTATGTGATTCAATAATTAATGGTTTCACTC